ACCTGGTGTTGACTCATCTCACAGGGCCCCTGTTTGAACCACTGGCCACGTGTTCCTGGTCTCTTCTCTCGTGGAAGGTGGCGTTCCTGGTTGCAATCAACGTCGGCCAGGCAAGTCTCGGAGCTTAGGGCTCTGACCTCCAAGCTGCCGTACACAGTCTTTCATAAAGACAAGGTCCAGCGTTCCTCCGGAAGGTGGTCTCCCCCTACCACATGGGTCAGGACATTTTTCTAGTGGTCCTCTGCCCCAAGACTCTCATGTCGAGTGAGGAGCGCTGTCTCCACACGCTCGATGTGCAGTGGACTCTGGCTTTCTACCTCGAGCGGACCAAGCCGTTCAGAAAGTCCTCTCAACTGTTCGTCACCTCAGCTGAGCGCACGAGGGGCCAGCCGATTTACACTCAGCGGCTTTCCAATCGGATCACTTTGTGCATCTGTTCCTGTTCTGAGCTGGCAGGTTCTGAGCCACCCATTGTGAAGGCACACTTGGCTTGGGTGCAGGCTTCGTCTGCTGCCTTTGTGGCCCACATCCCCATCCAGGACATTTGTAGGGCCGCCACGTGGTCTTCGGTTCACACGTTCACCTCTTAATATGCAGTCATCCCCCAAACCAGGGATGACGCCGGGTTCGGCAGGGCTGTCCTCTGTCCTGGAAACTTGTGAACTTCTACGCACCTCCAACAGATATAGCTTGGAATCACCTATTGTGGAATACACATGAGCAATCACTCGAAGAAAAGACAGTTACCTTTTCCGTAACTGGTGTTCTTCAAGATGTGTTGCTCATGTCTATTCAACATCCCATCCTCCTTCCCCTCTGTCAGAGTTGTCTGGCAAGAAGGACCTGAGAGTGGGGGGAGCGCGCAGCTCCTTTTATACCATGCCAGGCAGACACCACTCCAGGGGTCGTGGGGGGGGCATCCCGCCCCCCCGGTACTGCTAGGGGAAAAACTTCTGGCACCGGTGCACATAGCAAGCACACACACCTATTGTGGAATAGACATGAGCAACACATCTTGAACACCTGTTACGGAAAAGGTAACTGTCTTTTACTGATCAGCAAATGGTGGCTGTAGTACTCCATAAATCAGCGTCTAGTACCACAGGAGAGTAAAACAGTTGCTGATGCAGAGAGCCATGTTTGTTTCCTTAATTCTGGAGTAGGGTGCAATGAACCAATAAGGAGTAAAAGTCAATGGGAGACTAATGGGATGTGAAATGCTTGCTTCTAGTAGCTTGTCCCTGAAGTTTCCTCTCTCTGCGATGGGAGGGCCAGACTGTGAAGGGATTTGGAAGAGAAAGAGGCAGCTGGGGATGCACGGACTGGGGAGGAAAATGAGTTAATTGTTTGGGATCGAGCTGTGGGAGTGCAGAGTGTAAACCTGTCAGGGATGAAGAGATTGGTAGTAATGGAGAGAAAGGAAATGAGGAGACTGGTAAAGAGGAGGAAACAATGGGATTGAATGTGTCAGAAAGGATGATGAAAAAGTGATTAATGGTAGCAGGGAAAGCTGAGAGAATTTGGGGGAAGGGAGGAGGACTCAAAGCAAAATGCTGGGTAATAATGTAAATTTATATCTGTCTTTGGTGGGATAAGCTCATATTAGGAATTTTGACCTCTGCACTTGCACATTGGGAAGTAGGAAGTAGAGGAACTTGCTTGTTAAATCAAAATCATTTGCCTTTCAGCAGTCTCCATCCTTTCATTTCAGTCCCACAGCAATCTCCATGCCAACCCCAGCTATAGAATTTGGGCAGATGACAATTTGAGAGTGTTTGATTTAAGATGGTGCCTTTCAAATTTCTCACCTAGTGTTGATATGACTGTGTTTAATTGCAAGTGGCCATCAAATTATTTGTAATGTTGTCTACAGCTTTTACAGGAATTGCTTGTGCTGTCTTTCCTTGGATCCTGTTGCTTTTTGAAACAAGAAATGAGTGAAATATAAGAAGGGTCTTTCAAGTAAAGAACATTTTATATCATCTTCTTAATTATACAGATGTATTTTGACCACTGAAAATTTGGTCTTAAGGGTAGAATCTGAAGGGATCACCTGAGTATTACTTGAATTTTTAATGCTCTAAGTGCAGATATTTCTAAAGCTATTACAGTGACCCATGGATTTAAATATTCAAGGGATTCAAAGCCTAGGCAAAGCTCTGATCTATACAAATGGTGATCACTGACTGGACAAGTCTGCTCTGTTGCTAGTGAAGATTTCATAGTTATAAAAATTTGGGGATAAAACTAAACGATGGCTTTAAATACTGCAGTGTCAACAAGGACACTCTCTCTGTGTATCCCAACAAAAGTTCATTACACATACACACATAGCTACACACCAGTTTCCCATCAAGAAGAGTGGCTCTTCAATCCTTTCAAAATGGTTGCATTTCTTTGTATTCTTTATTCAGGTTACAGACCAAAAAAAAAAAAAAGAGATCCCAGCATTTTGATTTATGACTTTCATCAGTTCTCTCAGTTATCTCAATTTGGAAATAGTTCTAGAAGAGGTTGTTCAACTGGGAAAAGGAGTACACCTGTTTGCATACTGTTTTTGCTAATTTGTCACATTTTCCCAAATATTTTAATTGTTCTTCAGGGATAAATGTTACATGTCAAAGTTTTAAACCTTGTTTCTAATTCTCCATGTACAAATATGCAAGTGCCACTATTTGCATGTAAACATTTTTGACATACTTGGCAGTCAGGGATCCAAAGCAAATGGCATATATAGCAATAGAGATGAAGCCAGGCAAAGCCTTAAGCTTCTAAGCACTCGGAGACCCCTCTCTCTCTCTCATGTATTACTAGTGAATTTATCCCTGAGCAATACGTCAGTTACTGTTTCTATAACTAGCTGTTGGTAGGCATAACCTAAGGGTGATCCGCTTCCAGGATAACAAATTGTGTTGGCTGGTAATTGTATAAGTATCTTGTGGTACATAAATATTAATGGGTTCCAGAATATTTCAAAACACTTTTGGTCATGTGAATTTTGTGTGTGTTTAATTCCAAAGATGATCTTGTGTCTCTCTTCTAATGAATTTCCTCACATTCTCTTTTTAATGAACTTCCTCAAATGGCCAAGTGATTCTCTTTCTAATGAAAAGTGTAGCCCTCATCCCAAAGAAGGCTGGGTTCCATTTGTTTTTCTTTTTTGCAGCCTGCACAGAGTGTCATTTCTCTCTATATCCACCTCTTGAGAGCTTCACCTCTGACCTGCATTCCGCCATATATAATTAGCTAAAATCAAGACACAATGAAGATGATTGTCATGTCAGTACTTAGTTGTAGTGGATCAAGCAAGGAGGAATTGAACACTTAAGGTGATTGGACTAATCTGCCTTCCCCAAGGGTAAATACCTTGGATTGAGACCTTTTTAATAAATTAATCCTATAATTTTATGCTGAGCTCTCCCAATAGAAAGGGACAGAAGGCTAAATCTTCAAACTTAGTGTTGGATGTAGGTGCTCAAGGTGCCACTGAGAGCCTCAGCTGCTGCTTAACTCTGTAGGCACCTGAAGTTCCTAGGCACCTGATTTCAACCATTAAAGTCCCTTAGGTACCTAGGGTTATGCCAGTGAGCAGGTGCACAGCTGCTTCAGTCTGGGCATCCAGGCACTTATCTCATGCCTAAGCCCCCACAGCATCCTCCAACAGCATTGCCACACTTCTCACCTCTGGGGCTCAATTTGGTAGGCATGTTCAGAGGCTGTCTAAACTCCCACAAAACAGCCCAGTGGATGTTTGGGGGTGAGGGAAAGGGTGAGGAGGAGATCTCCCTTATAATCTTGAGATGTGGGAGATCTGGATTCAATTCCCCCCTCTATCTGATTTAGAGAGGGTGTTTGAACTTGGTGATTGCCCTACCCACTGGACTATATTCATTCCACACACACACACACCCCGCCATGTGTTGTATAGGGAGTCTACATGCCTAACTTTGGGCTGTGGATTCCATAGCCCTCTGTTCATAATCATAAGGTTAATTCACAACACACAATAATCTTTGCGGGTTATTTTAAAGAACAAAACCTACATTTCCTAGGGTGTCAAAATTGCCTAATGACAGATTTGAAACAAATCGTGTAATGAGGCTTTGGAAGAATCATAACAGTGAAACAGTAGCAAGTGAAACATTATCAATACCGCATTAAAAACTCACTAGTCTTTTCTGTGAACATAACATGAGTGAGGATAGAGTGGTACAATGCTCTTCAGCCCTGAAGCAGGTAGAGCAATTGTGCTTGGAAGTGGAATGCCGTGGTGCCGTGAAAGTATAGAGTCCCACTTCATTAGTGGTACACAAATCTAAAAATTAATGTATTTGATGGCAGATTAAAAAAAAAAAAGATGGTCTTTTCCTGTATCTGGGCACTTTTAAGGGAGATATTTTCTAACAAATGCATCATAGACTCTCTGATTTTAAGATCAGAAGGGACCATCATGATCATCTAGTCTGACCTCCTGCACATTTATTGCTGTGATGGTTTTTGCAGGAGAAGGGAATCTCACCCAGTTAGAGGAAAACTCCTTCTATGACTGTCCATTGGTAAATGAGGGAATAAATCACAGAAATGCCTACCAGGAAGGAATAGGAAAAGATGTAGAGGTGAGGAATGTATGGATTTAGTGCTGATGAAAGATGATGGCTTGAAGACATTCACCAGGCTGTCAAGGCAAGCTTCCCTCACACACTGCCCTGTCAGCATGTCTCAACCCAAATCTGGGTGAGGGGATTCTCCAGAGGATAGCAGGGGTAGTTCAGCCTTTAAGGCTTGTACAGTTCTTGACCTCTGCTGAGTCTGTCAATTAGTGCAAAGGATGGTAGGGATAAATGTCTGACACTTGGAGTCTGTCCTATTAGAGACCTTGGTTCTGTTCCTGGATATTCCTTAAGTAACCTTGCACAACCTCTTGTTACCTTATTTGTGAAATTGGGAAATGATACCGTTGCCTTAGAGAACAGGCAAGTATGAGGTCTTGATCAGGAATGAAGGTTATGAAATACACAAATATTAACATGATTCAGTAGAACAATTGAGACTCGTGGTGTTCTGGCCCCCAGCCCAGTGCACCATTCTGTAGGCCAAAGCATAGTCTATGGGGTGGACTTGCTCATTATACAGGAGTCTACCTGAGATGCATAAAGGCATGACAGGTTCCCAAATGCATGAGTGTCAGGCAGCTGGTCTCCAAAGCAAGAGCAATAAAATATTGGAACATTGTTAGGCACTTATCCCTGAGCAATACCAGACAGAACTCAAATAATCCTTGGTTTTGTTTATTACTGGACTTTCCTTACTACTCTGGGTGAACAGATGTTTGTTTAATACTCTAATATGTGATGAGAAAAACGCATACTGTAGCTAAAGCAAATTCCAGGGATTGGTCATTGTGGCTTCTATTAGGCGTTGGTCATTGTGGCTTCTATTAGGCGATAAGTCTTTTAGAGTTTTTAGTAGATTAAATGATCCTAGAGACTTTTAAGAATGCCATATAAGCAAAATCAAGTCTCTTATGTACAAACAACATTCTTTTTTTTTAAAAAAAAGTTCTAACTAAATCACTTGATCTGTGAATAAATGCAAACAGCTTAATGTCTTGCCCAAGTCCAAAAGCACTGTGCCCTCTGATCTTCCATCCTGCCACTTTGCATAGCAAGCAGGATATAATTCAGGAGCCAGTCTCAAGTATCGCAGTTACAGCTTTCACATCTGAGCCATCAAACTGAAAAATAAAGTAAACATTAAGAAAATCTATGGCTATGGGTCAAATGTAGTGTGGTACTAAGTGTCTTGCAGCACAGACAAAGCATAGAACACAAAATCAGAAATCTCAAAGTACTGAAAAGGAGTATGTTGAGTTTAAGTTCCCTTTTGTGAGGGGATAATAGTTTCAAATACATTTTGTTACCTTACACCAACTTTAATTCTTACACATGTGATAAGTGTTTGCCTGCACATGACTAAGCCGGCTGGGCCTGCAAGCAGAACAGTCCCTCTGAGAGACAGTGTGAGAATCAGCTGTTGGGCTTGTCTTCACTACCGGGATAAGTTGACCTAAGTTATGCTACTCCAGCTACGTGAACAATGTCACAGGAGTCGATGTCAAGTAGGTCGACTTACCCCGGTGTCTTCACTGCGCTGCGTTGATGGGAGACACACTCCGGTCGACTTATCTTACTCTTCTCGGAGAGCTGAAGTCGATCGGTGAGCACTCTGCCATCAATTTAGCAGGTCTTCACTAGACCCACTAAATCGACACCCGCTGCATCAATTGCAGCAGTGTCGATCTGTGTTTCTTTCATGCACATCCTTTTGGCCAGTAATCACTGGCACTAGCTGTAGAATGAACAGTTCACTCATTTTAACTGCAGAAAGGAAGTTGTTTTGTACTTGTTAGACAGGAAAGGGAACTTATGAAAGCCAAACATTAAGAAACCTTTGCATTCTCAGATTTTATTATACTTCGGTGATGGGATGGATTACTGCCTGAATATTGCATTGTTATTTGTGTTTGGATGTCCATTTAGTAGGAGGAGCCTTGATCAATAAAATAAACAGGAGTACAACACACCCTTCCTTATGCTTATCTCAAACTGATCAAAATCATGTTGTTCAGATAGGGCTGGAGGAAGGTAGGCCTGTGTTTGAGCTGTGAGATACCTGAGAATTTTGGTAGCCTTGGAAGCTGTTTCTAGGGAAGCATCTGAGGAAGGCTAGAATACTTAGGCTATGCCCACGCTAGGTGTGCTTTAGTGGTATGGGTATACCGGCATAGCTGCACTTTGTACCAAAATAGTAAAACCACCCCGCATGAATGAAACAAGCTATCCCAGTAAAAGTGCAGTTTTGCCAGTATGGCTGCATCTAAATCACAGACTTCTGCCAGCAGAGCTGTTGGTCATGGATCACACCTCTGCTCGCTCATGACCAACAGGTAATACTAGCAGAAGTTTGTAAACATAGCTTTAGTGTCACAACCTAGCCCAGTCCAGTAGACCCAACTGCTGAATCTCATATGCTCACTGTTCCTAGACCTGGGTATATAAGGCACACTCTCCAGGCCAGTCTTCTGGCACGTGGTGGTGGATGATCCCCTTTCACAGGGAACATTCCCCCTTAAATAAAACCATAGATCCTTTTGGCCATGTGCCAAAGCTGAGGTACTCCAGCCCCTCCCCCCAGCCAGACTTCCTTGTAGACAGTTCATTGGTCTTGTGGATGGATCAATAGTTGAGAGACAGTTGATGGGCCTTGATGGCTGTCTCCTTGAAAGTCATCTTCAAGGTGTGTTTCACCTTTTCCGGGCAGGACCAGTATCTAGAATAGACTGGCCTCATTAAGGCCAGGCTGCTTTTACAACACAGACTACAAACTGGCAGGGTAGGGAAGGATCTTGGGAAGGGTCTCCTGAGAGAGACTTTTTAACTGTTTGTTGTTCTTTGATTTCCAAGTTCCTCGTCTGGGAAAATTAGGGTTTACAATTTTGCTGGAGACATGAAATAGGATCTTCAAAATCAATAGCTTCCCCCCGCCCGCTTGTGTGCGACAGAATGTTCTAGTCACTGACCAGGTTGCATATAGGGTTTATAAAATTCTTACCTAGCTGCATTCTTAGATTATTATATGACAGATTATTCTCAAATCTCCTTCATTTCAGTCCCATATTTCCCTACAAATTTCTACACAAGTTTAATGTCCATTCTATTTATTGTTGAAACTTATTTACATCAGAAATGCAGAAACATAAAACAAAGGTTACAGTAAGAATTGTTTACATTAAAGGGATGAATTTCACAGCATTTTAAGCTGCTTTATGAATAATTTTTGGTGTTCTTTAGTTAGGGTCTTTCTCCACATTGCATATCATATTTGAGCCTGGCAGGTTGTGAACTATGGTCATAAATTTAGAGGCAGGATTTTCCAATCATTAGGATGCTAGCCCGAGACTTGAAAAACATGGGTTCAGTTCCCTGCCCCAGACTTCTTGTGCAGCTGTGGGCAAGTCACTGTCTTTTCGTGCCTCAGTTTGCCATCTGTAAAATGTATTTCTTTACGACCCATAAGAGGGTGCTGTTAGAAGCAATATATTAAAAATTGTGAGGCACTGAGATATCCCATATATGTACCTCAAATAAATAGATTAAATTTAAACATACAAGTCGGGAACAGAAAAAAATTAAAGTTGTGACAGACACTGGATACTGATTGCTGCCATATGACCTGTTATAAGCCTCACCAATGTCATGTGACTCAAGCCAGGCACTAAAAAGCAGTCTTTTACCAGCACTTTTGTTTAGCACATGCTTATTGCAGTAGTGGGCTAGCTTGGTAATCAACCGAGGAGCAACATTAATTCAGACTGTGTAAGCAATTGTTTGCTTTCTCACCACTGCCAAATATTTTGGATGCTGTTCAAGAGAGTACAAATTATTTACAAGCTTTACGTTTTTGGTTTGGGGATGGTGGTTTTTTTTAATGGAGTACAGTATTAATGGGCATTTTCATATAACAACCTAGTATTTTAATCAGACTCAGAAATGCTAATCACTATCATGTTTGTAACAAGTCCTCAACTTTCTGTAAAGTTCAATATTCAGTAAGATAAACAAGAGAATGCCAGGCCATGCTGAAAGGGTGACTTCGAGTTTTACTTTTTAGCAGCATTTTATATTGTGTTAATCTTAAATGATTAAAGAACATGATGGAAGGTTTTGTGTGAGGCCAGTGAAGGTGTTGAGCTGTACCCACTGCTTTATTAAACCAGCAGAGAGCCTTAATGCTATCAGGAATGGAAATCAGTTGAGGAGGTGGGGAGATGCTCTCTTCATAACTCCTTGAAACAGGCACAGTCATGTTAAGAAGTCCTGGAGGTAGAGTTGGGACAGTGACTATTGTTTTAAGCTAAGAATTTTTGAAAGAAGCCAATCCATTACTAAATTTACAGAATTAGACCATTCTTAACGTGGTATGTTGGAGGTTAACACCTGGCTCAGCACTGATTGTATTAGCAAGACAAAGACTGTAGTGAATTTTTAAAAAATGTAGATTGCAATTTATGGCTATATTGTCACAAAACAAAACGGACACAAAACAAAATGGATTTGACAGTTTGGTACAGACATATTCTCTCACACTTACCATGTGCAGTGCTTTACATTTTCACTGTGTTTACAGTGTAGTTTATCTTTGGTAGTGGTAACACTTGGAGGATAGCAGACCTAAGAAAACTGTTAGGTTAACAATAATCTGTGCTTTGTAGATAGTTGACATTCAAAATAAACTCATTCCACCACTCTGCAGCTGAGAAAATACGTTTGCCTTAAGTATTTGATGACATAATTGGGATTTTTTTGCAGAGGAAGGCAGGAGGAAGAGTCTAGCTAGTGTGCAAACTTTTACAAAGAATGGTTTGCTTTAAAAACCTTGATTTTTAGAGTAGCGCATTTGTGACCCATACAGTGGATGCCCTTCCTCGCATTGTATTTATGTTTGAAGAGGAGGATGTAACTGGAGTATGCTGTGAAATCAGGACCAGTAGAAATGTTACATCCATGCTATCGCTGAGGAAATTTTCACTCCATTTGTCTGCAGGTTGTAAAAGCACTTCTCCACTCCCTGCCACAAAAAGTCCAGTTGAGGTACTTCTCTTCTGCCTCTGTGAATGAAACTGTTCTCTAATCTAAAGCATTTAGTTAATAATCCGCCTTTTCAGAGCCATGACTCAAATGATTTTCAATCTCTGCCATTCTATAGGGGGGGAAAATGTTAAAATGGGAAGGAAACTCATATGCTGCCTTCATTTATCTGTATTTCTTTAGGCTATTTCAGCACTTCAGCCTATGTTGGAATAACTTACGTCTCTCAGGGGTGTGAATAAATGCTGAGCGACATACAGTACACGGATGTAGGTGCCCATGTGCGCAGCGCTATGTCAGTGGGAGAGCTTCTCCTGCTGACCTAGCTTCTGCCGCTCACGAAGGTGGACTCATTATGCTGACGGGAGAGCTCTCTCCCGTCAGCATAGAGCATCTTCACCAGATGCGATGCAGCCGTGCAGCTGTATCGGTGCAGCTGTGCCTCTGCAGCACTGTACGTGTAGACGTGGCCTTAGATTTATACACTCATTCTATATAAAGGAGCACTTGCAAATGTTCCTTTTGAAAACATTGTTTGAAATAAACTTTGGGGCAATATTCAAGATTGAAATTTGGTTTTCACAACTGTTCATGTGGGTAAGGCTCTCATGGTGGTAGAATCATAAAAAGCAGACACGAGGGGTGAAAACGGTCAAAGTGAACTTGTTTAAAAATTGGACCAAGTATTTGCAGAGTGGGCCTGATCCAAAGTCTAATAAGTCAAAGGAAAAACTCCCATTGATTTAAGCGGACTCTGGATCACCAGCTGCATGCCATAGATGAGAGCTAGCGCATCCATTGACATACCCTAATGCTGTAACTTATTTTCACACTTGGGGAGAATTATTGCAGGGTGGAATTTAAATATGAGGTTGGAGATTTGCCTTTAGCCTTTCTGTCTAAAATTTAGGAGTTGCTTTGAAGGCATCAGTAAAACTCTGCCACAGAAAATTAGGTTATTCTAAGAGTTTTCACTTTTATGTTGTGAATGTTAAGAGTTTCGAAAATATTTCCAAAGCCTTGCTGAATTGTTCTCTTTCTTGAAAATCATTTTATACTCTGAGTTGTTTTCTCTTAGGTATCTGAACGTTTGAATCAGCCAGGAGTAGCCATAGGCTTGGCTTGGACTCCTTTAGGAGGTGAGATCATGTTTGTAGAAGCCAGCCAAATGGATGGTGAAGGTCAGCTTACTCTAACTGGACAGCTGGGGGATGTCATGAAGGAGTCGGCACATCTTGCAATTAGCTGGCTGCGTAGCAATGCAAAGAAATACCAGCTAACTAATGGTATGTGAAAAACACAAAACAAGAATGTTGGTATGAGCCTAATGCAACATAGAGATGAATACCTGTTGTAACCTCTCACCAAAGAGATGCATATAAACAATTGTTTTAATTCCTATGCAAAGCTTATGATATTTCTGTGATGACCCAAAAATATACCATTATATTTTTCAATAATGAATTATAATAACAAAAAGGTTGCTGATTTACATGAAAAGTTGTCTTATTTAATTGATTATCTAAGACCCATTAGGACAATTATATTTACCTTAAAGGAGAAATAGGCTCCTCTCTACACTATGCTGAAAACGAGACCAGCAAAAAAACACCAGCCACAAATCGTTCTTTTGTGGTTTCTCCTCTACCTGCTGATGGTTAGCCAGGTCTGGCTACAGCTGAGGATTCAGCTCAGTGTTGTATTTTGTTAAGTTATTTAAGGAATTTAATGAAACTTAATTTATTTAAGGAAACTTTAGATGTTTAAAATTCTATCCATTTTAAATTTCTAATTTGCTTTTCATCATTAAACTATTTGCTTGCTTTCTGGTTCTAAGTCAGCAAACCCAGTGCTATGGTGTTTGAGAGTTAAATGTCTCCGGGCAGTGTTTATTTTTCAGAAATAACACTTTTTGTTCTATAAAATAAAGAAGCCATTTCTATAAAAAGTAGGGGTTTTTTTTAAAAAACTTTTGTTTAATAAGCCTTGTAGGCATAGACATTTTCACTGGCTTTTTGGGCTGTACTAGAACTATTAAACTGTGACGCACAAGCATCTTTATCCATCAATAGCCTGAAAAAAGACTTTAGTATGAAAATTAGTTTTAAATCTTGTATGATTTAATCAAAAAAATCAAAAGTTCTAGAAGACTGCAGCATGGTTTGGTGATCTGTTGTTCTGGGGAGCTGAGTAGCCAAATAGTAAAAACCAACATAATTAACAGGACTAACAGACCTCCTGTTGGTAGTTTCAGCAGAGCGTCCAAGGACCAAATGAACAATTTCTGGCTTGGCTACAACACACAATCTTTAGAGGGTATATCAGGTAGAGTGGTAAATAGAAGCAGAGCTCTATTGATAATAAGAGATGGTGTTCTGTGTCCTATACCAGAAGGGCAAGGGGAAAATGTAGACTTCATTCAGATCTTCATAAAGGGTGAGATTAGTTTACAGGTACACAAGCCATTTTCTCTGGAGTTGTGAAGTCTCTGGTCCATAGTTGAAAGATGGTTGGGGTACAGATTACAGTCAAGGTTTATTTTGAACCTATAACTATTTCCAGAAATTATTAGTCCTTTACTGATTCCATGTTCTAGTTTCCTGACTTTTAAATGTTTGAGTTTTAACCAATGCTCTGAATTTCCTGACTTCTAACATTTAAAAATTTTTGTAAGTAGAACTATTTACAATCTTAATTCATTCTTGACTATATTTTTTGTCTAGGAATTTAGTATCAGGGTGGATTGATTTATATGAAGGCAATTTTAAATTAAGTGAAATGTCTCGATTTAAATTATTTTAATAATTTTTTCCATTTGTTCAGTTATTTTCTAAAACAAGGTGCTTTTTCTCATTAGTTGTTATAACCATTCAAACATGTTGATTTACAGCTAAGTAGACTTTAACTACACTTTACAGCCTTTACACTAGATTTGGTTCATTTTTTTGCTAGCTAAGAGGATATGCTATAACTATATACATTTATTTAAGCACTTTTATAGCTTAATATGTTCAGATTTTTATTAATTGTACAATTTTAGTATATTAGAAAAAGTGAATGATATATTATTGCTTATATATTAGATAATTAACTTTTTGTTCATGGTTTGTGTTGCGCTGAATTAGAATGGTAACTGGAATTTAATTAAACACAGAACAGGACAGAATTTATTTTTATTAAACAAAACAACCTTAACTGTTTTGGACACCTAAATTTCTCTTCTCAAAAGGTGGTACACATCTACAGCTAAATGATTTGTTATCAAACAGAGGTATTACTTTAGTCAGTGAATTAAACTGATTGTTTCAAGTCAGCCTGGGAAAATTTTCAAATATGCCTAAATGAAAGTGACTGGAGCTGGAGTTCCTACTTGCCTATGTTTCTTGAAAATGAAACAGTCTTCTAAGTTATTTAGGCTGTCCTTCAAACTTTTAAAACTAGCAGATGTCATGCCCTCCCTCATTTTTATTGATTGGAAGTGAAAAAGAAGTGATTTTCCTACTTTTTCAACTTCCAGTTGATTTTTCAACTTTGAATAAATGAAGAAAATATTCTTTTTGTGCCTGCAGAAGAGGCTATTGCTGTCAAAAGCTGGTTTTGCGCTTCAACAAACTCTGGTTCCAGGTGCTTTGCTAGTGACTTTCTTTTATATTGTAAAATAAGCCAGTCAGAGCTCAGGTAGGGAGAAGCTATGAAATAGAAGGTTTAGACCACCCACGTAGGCTCAGTGGATGATCCTGATGAGATACATGAAAGTGTCGCTTGGAGTCAGAGGCCAGGTCCCACTGCCGGTGATGACTTTGCCAGTCTCCTGAACCCAGTGGCACAGTCCCTGCGTACCCCACAGGATCAAGCCCTTACTATGATATATGGCTATTATGCAATTTATAATGCTTGACCTCAAAAGTTAGATATTTTACCCCTGATTAATTCTTTATATAGAAAATCAGCCTTTAACTCAAAATTTTTGATGAAAGCTCATGGATTCAGTATATTTATTTCTACTTAAGTGTTTTAAGAGATTGTAATAAGTTTAGGCCTTAAAAATATCTAGGTTTTTTTTTTCCAGAAAATCCTAGATTTTTATCCTGTTTAATATAGATAGCAAGCCACCTTTGGCCTAGGAAAGTTTAGATTTTCGTGGGGCAAGGTAGTGTTTTCACTGGGGGGGGGGGTGTTTTCAGGGTGCTCTCCCCCCCCCCCCCCATTTTTAAGTATACTGTTTTCATATAATGCATTTGCTAATAATTCTAGTTCTCCCGTGCCTTTTTAGAACAAAGACCAGGAACAACACAGGTTTGAATTTTCCACATTCAAAACCATTCTTTTTTTTCTTTAAGCTTCTGGAAGTTTTGATCTCCTTGACAACACCGACATCCATCTGCACTTCCCAGCTGGAGCCGTCACAAAAGATGGACCATCTGCTGGAGTTACCATAGTAACCTGTCTTGCCTCACTTTTCAGTGGGAGGCTGGTGCGTTCAGATGTAGCAATGACTGGAGAAATTACACTAAGAGGCCTTGTTCTTCCAGTAAGTCTCATTTGGAAAAGTTAACCTATATTAAGATAGCACTGTGGGTTTTTTCCTCTTTATGCCCCCTCTGTAAGATGAAGTAGTAATTTTCTTCATAGTTACTTACCCAGGTATAAACCTTGTTATCTTGCTACAGTTCATTCCTGGATATTGTCTTTCAGTATAATTAGCACAGATGCATAGAAAAGTCCTAGTTCACATCCAGATATACACTATGAAAGTTACCTGATTTTATGCAATTTGCATGAAAAATTTGTTAGTATATGGGTGATATTTTCAGTGGAACAGATAACTTTGATTTATTATTTTTACAAGTACACATTTCCTTTTCTAATACTTCCTAAAATTCATAATATCCATTTACATTTCCTACATGTGTGTTGCAAATTAAAAAGCTTTAGTTCCTGGGGGAAAAAAAATCAAATTATTGCTATTGACAGGGTATTTTTATTATTGTAGTCCATGGAGCGAGGATTAGACTCCGGTGATAATAGCATAGTTTATTTGTACAATTAGCATAAAATATGCAGATGTGCTATGGGTATGGGCAGAAGTTCAACCTAAACCACAAACGCTTTTCTTCCCCCATAGTGTTGAGTACAGTGTAGGTAAAATCTGGCTTTAGTCAAGCCCTAAGCTCTTTATGAACATAATTATAGCAACTATGTGTAAAGAATGAAGTTAAGTTGGCTGTAATTTAGTTATAGATCTGTACTGCTCAATGTGAGAACAGTATTTTTCACAATTTAAAAACTACCTTAAAACATGCAATTAGGAGGGCAGGGCAAAAACATCCATTATGTGTTGGGTTTTTTTGAATTATCATAGTACTTTGGAGCTCTAGTCCCCACTGTACAAACAGAACAAAAAGACATTTGCTGCTCCGAAGATCTTAAGATCTAACCATAAGACAAAACACAACAGGTGGCTACAGACAGACAGACGGATGGGAATTCAAGGAAATAATGAGGCAATATTGGTCAGCATGAGAGGTTAGGCTCAGCACACAAGCAGCCTAATCATGGTTAAGTTTTGTAGGCATCAGAGAGCTAGACGGATTTGAATTAGAATAATGAGTGGAGTATATTTGTGGCTATTTAGGGAGAGCACCTCCAAGCATGAGCGGCAGCATCAAAAAAGCCACAAAACAAGTAGGCAATGGAGGCTGGCATCGTGGGCTGATCAGAGCTAGGAGTTGACATCTCAGAAGAGGTAATAGGGTGGGGGACATGTTGTGAAGGGCTTTGAAAGTGAAGACAAGCCACTTATGTATGTTGGACATGTGACAGGCTAAGAGAATGATCTTTATAGCAGCATTCTGAGTGGAAATGACCAGGGCAACACTGCATTTGTCAAGGCTCGCACTCGAGAAGAGGGTGTTGCAGTAATTCAGGTATGTCATCGTAGGCTTAATTCAGATTACTAAATTGAATAGGGTTGTTGCACCTTAAATAACATGAGACATCTGGCACAGTATAACTGGTTTTTTGGCCAGGTCATTAAGTGCAGACCACAAACACATGCCCATATTAACTGTTTTTGAGAAATAACTATCCTTTCTGAAAACTGGCTCTTGAGGGTCCAGAATACTGCTGACACTCACATGAGCATCCCGTTGGATTCAAAAGGACTTCACATAGTAGGACGCCTTATGGCAGATTGTGAGAGTTAGCAAGACAGGACCCTGTTTTTATTGTGTGAAAAGCAGGATTGTGTTTGGCTTTATTTTGGTATTAAAAATACAGAATACTAATTTTACGCTCTCCTAACTCTGCTTCATCATAGCAAAAGGAAGCTCTCTCCTGTCTCCTTCTCAAGGACTTGCATTAGTTTAGGATTTATAAGACTGCCAACCTAAGTCCATTCTTTGTTTTCACTTTCCCATCTGGAATACTTTATTTTTTAACTTTTTCCTAAGCAAAGAATGGCCTGTTAAAAAACCCGTTGATTTGTATCCAAGGAATACTCTTTAATGCCTTATCCTTAACTGCTATAAGTTAAAGAAGCTCATTGACATCAACAGAACCACATCAATTTACAGCAGCTGGGGATCTGGCTTCTTAATTCCAGTAACAACTTCAACTAACACATTTTGAACATTTCAGAAAAGCTACTCGTCAAGTCCTTATGTCTGCCGTTATGGAAGGAAAGACAGATAATTGCATACATTACTTGTATATACAAATTCTTAAGATTACATGCACATGAACTTGTTTGACATCAGACCTATGACTTGCACACAAAACAATTTAAATACTTATGCTGTGGTGTGTTTAGAATGGTAATCCATGTATTCCACTGTTTTTTATGTCATCTTCCTTGCTAACTGTGGTGATTGTCAGAGATATTTGACTATAATGGCAAAGTTACATTTTCAATAGAAACTTCAGTTAATTTCAGTTTTGGTTAATAATGGCTAATCTTTACTTCAGAATGGTAGTTTGAACTGTACCTTATCTTGGTACTAACTATTATAGTATTTATGGTGCTTCTTTGTACTGAGCAAGTAACTTTCTAGATATTAGACTTTGTCATTTACAGAGGAAAAAAAGTAGCTAATGTTTCTTCTCGCCGAATAGTATGAGTAGCATGGTGGTAGAATTTGAGAGAGAACACTTACAAATAAACTTCCGTTGCTCTATAAGGGCATCACTGTAATCTATGAAAACGTCTCCCAGATGTTACAAGATACTAGATCACATATCACTAGAGTTGGTCTAAAATTAAAATTTCTGTCACGCAGGAAATTGATATTTTGACGCTTTTTTCTTTCAGGACAAAGTCAAAATACCCAAACTTTTCACAGAATAGAAAGTTATGAAAAATTCTGGTTTGGTTTGTCAAAATATTGACAATTCTGATAGTAGTTTGTAGTGTCAGTGTAGCTGTCTTGGTCCCAGGTATTAGAAAGACAAGGTGGGCAAGGTAATATCTTTTATTGGACCAACTTCTGATGGAGAAAGATGAGCTTCCATAGAGCTCTTCTTCCTTTCCCAGACCTGAAGAGCTGTGTGTAAGCTCAAAAATCTTGTCTCTTTTGGCTAATGGAAGTTGGTCCAATAAAAGATATTAGCTCTCCTAGTTTTGATAGTTGACATTTTCCTTTGTTTGTTGAACCAGCTCTATATTTTCTTTTGGATTGGTTTTACTTTAATTTGTGTCTCCCTGAGCAGTCAGTCTCCTCTTCACATGGTGTGCTACAGCTGTTCAACCAGAGGGGAGATGACAGAGTCTTTCCTTGGGACAGGGAAAGGCTCCAGATGCTCTCTGTGGTGAGGAAAGGCCCCTGCAGTGGGACACAATACTGCCTAAAATAGCAGTGTAGACAGGGGAGGCATAGCAGAAGGTTCTGATATGTCTACTTGACTAAGCAGTACGATGCTGCCATTTATACCTGTGCTAGGGGTGTATATACGTATTCTACATGTCACCAAAAGGAGAATGCACCATAGACGTACCTTATAGATCAGTGGTGGGCAACCGTGGCTCGCACCACTTCCCGCTGGCAGTCCACCAGCAGATTACCCTGATGGGCTACGTGCGGGCCACAGGTTGCCCACCAGTTATAGATCAACATTCTTGGAAGATGAACAGGGATTGTGGAAGTTCAGTTTTTAGAATGGTGCTTTACGGATGAAGCTTGGAACTTTTTTTATCTTCTGATTTGCTTTTTAGTGGATTTCTCAATTTTAGCTTCTGGGACTTTTTGGTTGGTTGCTTTTCTGTAAAATACAGGATGTAAAACCATATCAAAGCATCTTGATTTGGATGTTTATATATATATATAATGTTTAAAGCAATCTAAAATATATAGCTTTATATATATAAACTAGTTGCCATGAATAGGTTGGAGGGGTGGGGTGAGGGAGAGAACTATGAAATACTTGTAATCAAAAGAAAACCGAACTCATAATTCACATCTTTTGCATTTCACTACAAACTCAAAATGAACCTGGTTCTTTGTTGGGGGCATGTACATATACACATTTCCATAGGAAAATAGATCTCTTTGAAAAGCAAAGTTAGTTTTGCATTAATCTTAAAACTTGCTTACTTTGGGTGGTGAAGTGTCCGTTTCTGTAAATTTTGCAGGTGGGAATAGAGGTGAATTATGAGGTTTATACAGCTCCAGACAGGAGACTTAAAAAGGGGGAGTGCTGCTCTTAAACAGTCATATACAAAAAGGATTTTCAAAACCACATGCCAAAGTGACATAGTAGCACAACAGTCTTGTGATGTGTACTCCTCAGACTATGGTGCTTTTGAAAATCCAATCCAAGATTTCTCCATTCTGCTGTGCTAATTAGTTTATTTTCATGAACTAAGAAAATACACCACCACCACACTCTTGCATCTCATTTAAACATTAATTGGGCCCTTTTTCAATAAATGGTGATTTCTGTCCTGCTTATGTGGATGTTATTTCATGACTCTATAGTTGTAGGATTTCATACTGTGACAGAAATAATTTTATAAATTTTAAAAGTAACCTGTTAGTGAATCAGAATGATCCCTCTTTGGATTCTGTGAACAAACTGCATTAAACATATAGAGAGGCTACCTATTTTGTTGCCAAGTATAGAGATTCACAGTTATAGTGGATGCTTGGCTGTATTTTGAATATGCTACAGTATGTATTTTCAACTGCTTGAAAAGCATAGCTGTATGCATAAGCATTTTTTGGTAGGTTTTTTTGCTTTTGTATAAGGATAAAGGCTTGTCTACATGGCGCACACTAACTTTTGTCATGTAGACAAGCCCTGAGTAAGCTGTAGAGAGAGACAGATACACCTGAAACAAACAGTGGCCTTTCTTTCCATTGTTAATGTTACTAAGATACACAGTGCTTTACCATGCATAGAAAAGAACAGCCAGAGATTGGAGGGTCCAGCAGGGCACAGCCAAGCCTTGTGTTACCTTAAAATGGGAATCATAAGAGAGACCAATGCCTTTTTAGAAGTGTTTTTTCCTATGTTGATGGGTGCAAGGATATATGTGAGGGTAAGAGATTAATGAGATCTCATGTTTGAGATTCTTGCAGCTATGCAGCTGGAATCTTTGTGGGCCCAATGAGGTTTTTTCCTCTTACACTAATCATATTTCCCATTTTAGCAGTTTAAGACTAATAAATGCCTGTTGGCAATCTTTTTAGCTCATATGGGTAAGGCAAACACTTCCAAATTTACCTTCTCCTAAAAAGTGATTCAGGAGAAAAACATTCCATTAAAAGTATGTCCATGCAGTTTAAGCTCTCAGTATGATGAATTATGGATGCACATCTGGAATCCTGTTTTGTTCACTTAATATTTAATTCAAAATGCCACTTGTGACTGCTTTGCAGAAAGCATCATAACTAAATAACTTTTTTAAATGGTGTGGTTTTTAATAGGTTGGGGGAATTAAGGACAAAGTCCTAGCAGCCCATAGAGCTGGACTGAAGAGAATTATCATTCCTCAAAGAAATGAAAAAGACCTTGAAGAGATTGCAATGAACGTGCGGCAGGATTTGAATTTTGTTATGGCAAGCTGCCTGGATGAAGTTCTGAATGCAGCTTTCGATGGGGGATTTTCAATCAAGACCGGACTTGAGCGCTTGAATAGTAAACTTTAAGCGGATTGGGTGAGATATCCTGTACATCAACATTAAACTCTCATTCAACTGTCAGATGGTAAAAACGTGACCTGCAGTGATACAAAACATGAGGGCAAGTATTGAGGCCTCACTGTGATGTGCTGTGCCACCCATTAAAAGTTAAGGCTTGACTTTCAGTGGGGCCTCAATGCCAGTTCTACTTGACTATTACTAATAGAAAGTGTGCCTGCAACTTTATATGCGCCAATTTATCAAACACATTTTATATATACTAGTTCTATCAGCAGCATGTACAGGTATTAATGGAGGAGAGTACACATACCTGCTTGCACACCCAAGCAGAGACCAAGAGTGTGAAGATTAGGGATATATTTTTCGAAAGCACCTAACCCCCTTAAACACTTTTGCTCTAGATACTTCATGTCTCCGATGCTCTAGTTTTGTTACTACTGTATACAGATGGGTTTAATGATAGCTCTAGTGATCAGGCAACAGATGTGTTACATGAAGTTTAATATGGATAACTTATATAATTAAAATAAATGCACTGAGCTCATCTGAAAAACTATCAGTGAATACTGCTTACTTTCCCAGCAAAAAAGTTGAAGTGCATTAGTGTTTTGTCTAAAAACCTTGCAAATATGCATTTGTTAAAATATTACAAAACAAGAATTTCAGAGTTGTTTCATTTAAAAAATGTAAAGCATGAGTCCCCATAACCACCTTCATTATGCTCAGATACCATTGCTCGTGTCCTATATTCCCTATTTTGTTCATTTTTGGCTCAAGGCCTTATTTTAAAGTGCCTAATCTTAATGGTCAGTGGTGTATTTTTAACACATCCAGCTGATATTTAAACTAACTTGCAAAAAGCTAGGAAATATTTGATATGATGCATTTGTGGACCTCACGCTAAAACTTTCCAATAGGTAAAATTTCAGGTCTCTTACATTAGGTATGGGAGAAGAGTGGTTAAAATTTGACTTAAGACCCATCTCTTCCTTAACTAGAGAGAAATTAGTTTCTCACCTTAAATCAGCACAAATATTTAATACACGTATCTGTGATAAATGAAATGGAGTTGTGTTGGGGGAGGTGCTCATAGATGTGGAATAAAATACAAGATTTCACAAACCAGAGTTGCAGTCAAAATGCAAATATTCACCCAGTGAATGCCACCAAAACTACTCCTTCACAACAGGAAAAAAGATAGGAGACTAAATCTAAAAGCAGGTCAGGAAAAGACTTGTGGGAGAGCATATTGGAAAACACATACAAATATTGATTAATCACTTCTGTGAAGCATGTCTTATCCCCCTTTTAATGGATAAATGATATCTGCCTGAGAAGTGGTGTCCAGCACATTATGCATAAGGTTCTAAGCCTGGCTTTGCCACTGAATGGCAGGACAGTTAAGCAAATTAAACATCTGAACCTATTTTCCCCTTGTGAAAAAGAGTTATTTTATTCTTAAAGGTAACTCTCAAACATTTTATACCTCATGACATTCCTGTGAGAGATAATAATCATAAGGATCAAGTCATTAAAGCCACCCAGTGCAGCAGAGCCAGGAGTGGAATTTGACTTCCTGATTTGCATCACTGATTTTTTCCACTAGACTGTTCTCTCCTCTTTATGGTCTTATTCTGATGAGGACATTGATCAGGCCATGCAGAGCAATTTTAGCTTCAAAGTACTAATAAACACCAACATACAGGCTGTTTTTTAAGCCTTCACTAGATACCATACATGAATGGAGGCTCTCTCACACTAATACTGGGGTGGGCAAACTACAGCCCACATCAGACCATTTAATCCAGCCCTCAGCACCTGCTGGGGAGCAGGGTCAGGGGTTTACCCTGCTCTGGCTGGGGGCCAGGGGCTTGCCCCACTCCCTGCAGCTCTGTGTGCTACTGTGGTTCCTGGCCAAAGGGAGCTGCAGGGATGGCACCTGAGGACAAGGCACAAGAGCTGCCTGGAGGGGGGACATGCTTCTGGGAGCTGCTTTGCTCAACAGCCTGATCCCCCTCCCTCACCCTGAACTCCTCATTTCTGGCCCCACCCCTACCCCCAGTTTCATGAGCATTCATGGCTCACCATACAATTTCCATACCCAGATGAGGCCCCCAAGCCAGAAAGTTTGCCCACCCCTGCACTAATACCTATTCACACATTCAAAATTGTGTACATGCTAGTGGAGAGAAGGGTGAGTCCCCACTGGAAATTATGGCCTCTTAATTAACGCAGAGTTTTGGAAGAGGATGTTAGAGGATTCTTAAAATATGCAAAGATTCTTAATTTTTTTCTCCCAACAGTTTAGTATTTGACTTCATTCTCTCCTGGAATTTCTAAAACCATACTCTTCTGGCAGAGCAGCAGTCATGAGAAATTTGACAAATCAGATGAGTTTTTAAAAAGGTAGATTTTTTGCATGGGGAGGGACAAAAGTCAGGCTTATACAAAGAAAGACTCCTTAAATCTCCCTTGTGGAAAAACTGGATGCTCAAATGAAAAGGGAACATTTTGATTTGGTGTTTTAAAAGCTCCAAAATTCAATTAGTAGTTGTTGGTATATAAACACTTCAGAACAAGAGTATAGAAAAAGTATACCCTTAATTGTCAAATTCTAGTTTCCTTTACCACTCTACCCTTTGTAAAGAATCATATTAGTCTCTTAACCTCATGTATTTTTCCACCCTCTTATATGAGGGCTGTAATTTAAGCTACCAACTTCAGTCTACACATGTGTTTTAAATTATGGGGAAGATGATTATATTCTGTGACTAGGAGTCTCTTAATGTTATTTTCCTTATGTTAGGTCATGAAGAAAGATTAAAGTCTTGTAGTAATGCTGATCTTTGTAACTTAATTTTTCAGTTTGGTATTCGATTAATAAAGGTTTGACCACTTCTTGCAAGCTAGTTCTACTAATGAATGACTGGTTTTGAAATATACCACCACTGCTCATAAAATTGTAACAAGGTGAGAGACTTCAAGACAAATGGGGGTCTGCTAAAACAAATTTGTGAAGGGATGGTGGTAACTATACCATAATAGGAAATCACAATGAAGCATACACTATAAAATATTTTGCTTCAACTGGTTTCTGTATATGTATAAAGAGATCTGTTAAACCTTCTGTGGGTCATAGTAGGACTAATCCTACATTTGTTCAGTGGCATTCTTAGAACTGATCCATTAATTATATTAAAAGGTATAAAATCCCTTTCTTCAGAAGGCTTCATCTTCCCTTGTCATGTAAAGGGCCCACAATACAAGCTTTCAAATACAGCCTTAAAAAACCAAGGCTAAAGAGTGTTTATTGCATCTTTACATTAAGACAAATATGACAGTTTCTCCTTACCTGTGAACTTCCAGAACAGGAAGGTCCATCATTCCAGTTATTTCCTGGGTGTGAGTGAGCCCTCAGAAGTGCACTGGAATGCTCTGCAAAGCAGGGAAGTGCCAAAAATTGCTAGAAGATTCTTCCAGTGAGAGTTGAGGTATGTGAAGTGCTAAGTATTATAAACATGTAAATAGCTAACATCACCACATCAATAATGGACACCAATAAACAAAAACAAAAAACTCTGCCACCTTTACCATTTTTTAGTGCTAAGTAGTCCTGCAGCTTGTAGCCTTCTACTCTACACAGGACAGGCAGGAAACTGAAAGCTTCCTACTCTCAGCTGCTCCTTTTTCACATGGAGGGACAAGGCAGTAGCCCTTACCTGGTAGTGAGAGGAGCAGCAGGAAGTCAGAAGACAGAGGAGCTTTCTATTTAAACAAGCATGTTTTTTTTCCGTGAGAAGGTGGGTACATAGCTTCTACACGGGATGGATATATTTTTTGTGACTGGTTGATTTATATAGAAAGTGTTTATTTCTAATAAGGGACTACAGAGTTCTATCAGCTTCCATATCAACAGGCCACTGAGGTATTGTCCACATAGAGCCGAGTGATCCAACCCCCTGCGTACTGTACTTGTTTCACAGATGCACTCAATTTGTAAAACTACATTTAGAATTGCCCAGCAGAAATTCTGTACACAGATTACATTTGTATAGTTTATGCTGAACTGCAAGTGCATTCATTTTCATTGAACTTGGTAGAAGTACGCACTGCATTTTTCAGAAATAAGCAGGGCGGGACTGGGACCTAGAAAGCTACTGGTGGTTGAACACAAGTTCCTTTTTTTTTGGTGCTTTAAAGATGTAAGTCCTTTATACTAATACTGAAGATTTTAAACAAACACTAATCATAGCCTTTAATATCTAAATAGCTGAATACACTGAGGTTATGCATAACACCACCTTTACCTGTCCACTTTTCTGCATTAAGGACACTTATATTTTATTTATTGCTGTTCATGCTTTTACTATTCTTGACACAAACAATAAAGGCCTTCCAAAGTCACAACTTACATTCATTAAACACCTCAATGAAGTTGTAATTGATACTCAAATGCTGGCTATTAGTAGTGTGGTGTATGGTCTAGTGCCATTTTGAGAACCTTCTACTTTGACTACACACATAGACTAAGAGAACCAGGCTTGCAAAGCTGCAGTTGCTGATCCTTCCCTCAAAACAAATATTTTTCCTAAGTAGATGGCCCATCACAGTATGAAGCAATTAAATTTTATTCAGAATAGCTTTGAAAAGTTAAATTCATTATACTAAACAGAACTATATTATGAATTCATCTGGATAACACTTTGAATTACAGTAGTTTCCATTATAGGAATGTTATGGGCAACTCTGTATAACAGACATATCACTGTGCATAGTGCAAACAATAACTTATCTTAAATAACCAAATGCATGCAAGGAATGTCTGAACAGAGAAACATTGAATGTTAACCCTCCCATTTGACTTCCCAAAGCCTATGCACCTGCAATTTGTTTTTTTTAATGGCAGTAACACACACACAAACAGGTATTTGGATTGAGGATAAATTGTTTGACAGTTTACTATTTAAGTATATTAAAAAATATAGAGAAGAATCTTCATTATTTTAAATAAAGATAATTGAGCACACTTTTTCCACTAGAATAAAGTAAACTTTTCTAATGTAAATAGTCACTGCTAATATGACATTTCCAGGCATTTTAAATACCACTAAATTTTAGATCTGGTGGTAGCTAGTACAACCGATATTTAATATAGATCATTAATGTCGTACTGTATAAGAGTAAAAAAAAAAGTTTAGTCTATACTTTCTTTGATGAGCATGTTTTAACCATTCAATCTGATGAATGACATTAAATGTTGGGGGGGAGGGGGAGATAAAGTCTGAAAGTAACTAACTACACTATAGCATACATTGTGTTTACAGTTAATGTAAAATCTTTTAAAATTGCCCATTGGTATGAGCAACTGTTTATGGGGAGTACTGCAAGCTGACCTTTCAAGTCTATCTTAAACTAGACTCAATTCTGAACAGTCCCAAACCATAAACCAAGTTAGTATTAAGCCTCTAAGATTCTCATGTCCTGTTTACCTATTAAAAGTACAAGCAGCAGCATCTATTTTATGAAAGTGCTACACTTATGCTGACATACTCTTCTAAAGACACTCTATCTTTAGTTCAAGGAAGTTAAATCATTATGCCAGAAAAATACAGATGAACATCTCTTAACAGTTTCCCATCATGTTATGCTTTTTGGTGCACAGTGGTGTATCCTATTATTCTTATATATTTTAAGAACCTTGGCCTTATTTTCAAACTATTGTGTTAGCATTTCTGAAGTTGTTCTGTTAACTAAACCCAAAACACAATTGTATGTATGACATTGAAATTTGTCTTTTAAATGTTAGAGTCCTAGATTCCCTCCCAACACAAAACCGCACCCTTCCCTGAAATTCAGAGGTGAATTTAAGAATCACACCGCAGATGCCCACCCTATTTTTTTGTAATCCTTCCTCCTACCCTCCCAGCTTAAATGTATGAATTTTGCAAGCTGAAGCATATGCATAAAATGAGCATGTGTACCCTTCACCCCTACTCAGCATATAGTGCCACAGAGGAGAGGGTGTTCTCTTCCGCCACCCATGTGGGACATACATAGGCTGCACAATGAGAGCTCTATTAAGAGGCAAGCTGGGGTGACTCTGAATGGAATGGGACACTGCTGGATTCACCATCTAAGCCGCAGGCTGCATGTTGTGCTCTAACCTCCCTGGACTACGCCAACAAGGTCTACCTGGGACAGTTGGAGCACAACATTCAGTCAGTAGCTTGAGCAGTGAATCCAGCTTCCCAAACCCCACTAATCACCACTGCAGAGTCCACAGGGGAGAGAACTATGGCCAAGAGCAAGGACCAGGACCATCACTGGCCAAGGTAACTCAGAGCTGTAGAAAGCAAAGAAGGGCAAATTTCCTATTGTCATTTCCCCCAGGGTAGGGGTTGCAATGCTTCTTGGCCAAATCAGGAGAAGGAAAGAGAGGATCCAGCTCCTGTAGCATGCATTACAAGCATTCAAGATGCTACTGTACACCCCACCCCATGTGTATTTGGCTTTGCACCTTTGGTCCAAGCAAATGCTCTAATTCCTGCTTTTTTTTTTTTTTAAATAATTATCCCTAAAAGTCTCAAAGCAAGGTTGACATTTCTGTAATTAGAGTATCCCATGTATAAAGACCAATGAATATGTGTAAAGTGGGTGTAATTTGCAGCAAACAACTAAGCAGGAGTGTAAAATGTAGCTGCCTTTTTACTTTCAACTACTGGCTAGGTGGTATGTGGAAGCATTCACTGCTGCTGCCTATCCTGGACTACTGTGACCAAATTGGTAAAATGGGGTAGCTGGTTGTTGAATGTTGTGTTTGACAACTTAAAAAATAAAAATAAACTAGGAAGTTTAATACCTTGTTTCCTTAAGAGCAAGAAAAGTAATTGCAAATAAAAATCAAAGTCACAACCACCTAAAGTAACCTACATTAAAAATAAATGACATTTTATTACACAGATCAGGAATACTTAAAAATCATAGTTCTGACTCACCAATTAAAGAGACTTCCACTAACTTAAAACAACAAAAGCTTTTATGGATTCCATTACAAGATCTGAGAAGGTATTAGAATCAACCGAACATACAATGATCTCCTCAGTTCCAGCCATATCATCACATGGAACTTTTAATATCTAAGGAAGTTACCATTTCTTAAAATACAGAAAACATCCTAACTCACTCATTTTAGGCAAGCCTCAAATCTATGTATTTTAATAGGAGTTAATCTACTACTCAAACTAAAGTCTGGATGTAAAATTAGTCCACACTATTTATCAACAGCCTCTGAAAGAATTAGAATTGAAATGCAAGTTTCAATAATGAGAAACCACACATTTAAATAAAAAGTCTTAATTTCAAACCTACCAGCCACTAGCCTGTAACTGCTGTAGCCAAACATCTCATGGTATAGCAAAACAGAATTGGGGTAAATGTAGGTAAGATTAAATAGGCTGCATTTAGAAAACTGACACAGCAAGTATTCCACTAGAGATCAAAGAAGAAATGAGATGCCAGTATATTTCTTAAGTTTTTAATCCTCCTGAACAGTGCACCATCACAATTTGAAGCTTACTTCTTTAATTATATAAAATGAACTATTTCTGCACTGGCTTGTCTATAAACGTCTATACTGGTTCACATTCCTTATCTGTATGACTACTTGCCCCATCAGGCTAAAATGTGTAAACTCATTGAATTATTTTTGGTGCAGTGATGCCTTAACATAGATCAATTTCTGACAAAGTTAGACAATATATAGTAAATAAATTGTATTTTAATGTTATACAAAAAGTAGCTAATATTCATCCTACTTCTCCCAACAGCATATGTTCACAATTACCAAGTTTGGCAAAGAGATACCTTTAACGTAGTTTGAGATTTAATAGTTTTCTTTTATATTATTTCTTTTTTACATTAACCATCTTAGTGCTGTATATGGACATACATTCAAGGTGAATTTCTCAAACTTGCTTGCAACCTGCAAAAGGCCCCAATATACCACTTATGACTTTAAATGCAAGAGAATTGCATGGACCTTTGGATGTACACTGTTCATCGTATCACTAACATGGTGGGATGACATACAAGATTAGTATGACTAAGGAAAATAAAGTTGGTTCTCTCTAGTTCAGGTATCCTTTTGTCTGACGGATTGTTACAAGTAAAGTTAAGTTAGAATATTAAATTAGTCAAACTTCGTGCTAAAGCAAAAAACAAGAGTTTTTATTTAGTTTGCCAGGTATTTGTTTAATGACAAAATTATAAAAGACCAAAAACATTGTATTCTGAGACTGCCTTTTTTTTTTTAAATGGTCTGTTTTTATAGTTACAATTACTGCATAAGACAATGCCTTCTTGTACTGCAAAACCAAAATACACGCATGAGTTTGTGTCTGAAGTTTCTAAATTTAAGAAGTGTGCCTGAATTTTCAGTGTATTTAATTAGGATGTTACCCAATAACTCCTCACTTTTGTTTGAAGGTATAACGAAATACATCATCATCTAGGCCTGTTTTTAAAGGAGCTGTTTTTCTGATAATTCTTCCAATGTAATTGCTCCTTTAGAATTCAATACATTCACAAAATAGCTGAATTAAGAACAGTATCGCCAATGAATGGACTACTGGGAAGAGACTAATTTACCAAATGTACAGAAGTATAAGTTTTACCATAAGCAATTATGCATATCAAAAGATGACACCTGCAATTAATTTTTAAAAGGTACAAAATGGAGGAAAACCTGAATTACAGAAAAGAAAGTCATTTATTTAATGAAAAACTAGAAGTTAATAAAAATTAGCAAATACACAAAAATATACACAAACAGCAGCAATACTATGTAGTGACTTAAGGGGGAAAAGCAGCGGCAAGAGACCGGACTGCTCAACATGGCTTGTCAGTCAAAGGAAAAAAAAACAAACAAACAAAAAACACAACAGTATCCTTTTCAACAGTACAATCAATCTACAAACAAGTTTTTAGAACTATTTTACAACGTTTCCTGTAGAATCAATTCTTAATACAAAAGATGCCCATTTTGGGTGTATATATATTTTCAGTGGTTTACTGTTGACTTATTTTAAATATATTAGTGTTACTACATGCAACTGCTTCCTGTAATTTAACAGCCTTTCCTTTTATTTACCTTCATATACATCTAGCCTCCCTCTACCAAATAGTTTGTGTCTGGCAGTCAAAGATGGTTACCCTAGTTTCTGCGAAATTAAATGCAACTGTTTTAAACACTGGCCTGAAAATGTTTGCTTGCCATTTCAACACATTGAAATAGTTACATTGATGCCTAAATTGCCATTTTCTGCAAAGAGCTGTGCAATGCTGGTGTCAAAGACTAGACAGTCACTATTCATAATGGCTGTTGCAATTCCCTCATGAATAGATCGAGGAGTTGCTTCCCAAGTCAATCGCCGCCTATGACCATTAAGCTCAAGTCGATAAGCAAAATTTTCTGCTTGCTTGCGTGTTCCTATCAGCTGTACAATAGCAAAGAACTGCTGGTGACCATCATATTTTTCCTGTTTCTCCAAGACTAACATGAAATGAAAGCCAAAACAAGATTGCATCATAACCCAGTCAACAGCACCAGGAAGATTAATGTCTGTAGCAAGGAAAACTATATCTTCTCCCTGTAGTGTTGTTATTGACTTATGCTGATGCATCAAATGTGGCATAACAGCATCCAGCGAACCTTGCCATTTACATGAAGCACCAGGACATGGACATGAATAAGGCCTAAACTCACACAGCTCTTCATGGTCTGCTTTTTCTGTGTGTGGCAAAGTTATCTCACATCCAGAAGAGGCGTATTTACATGGGAACAGTACAGAATTGGCAACTTTTTCCATAGCCAAGTTACGAATGGAACCCAGTGGGCCTCGGCAAGTTGGACAGCATGTAAGCTTGGGGCGACAGTTGCTACAAACAAGATGGCCACTCTGACACTGAAGAATAGGTGGCAGCACATAGTCAAAACACACAGGACACTCAAAAAGACTTGCCAAGTCATTGTTGGAAGCTGTAGTGCCAGTCAGAGCAGGCACCCTCTGTGATGGTGTACACTTTGAAGTACCTGTAGGTAGTGCTGTAGCAGTCTGACGGCTCATTTCTGTAATGAAGGAAAAACAGAGTTAGTATACAAGAGAATGTGTCAGTACACCTGTATCTCCGTAACTGAGTTTTTTCCCTGTAATTGTTGATTTTAATTTTTATTTGAGGAAAAAAAATTAGACATACCATTTAATACATTGTATATTTCACAAACAATTTCCACAGGGAGCAAAAACAAATGTGATACGCATTAAATGTGAAGAGTGTGGCTCTAGTGCATGTGAGCAAAGCTGGAAAGGACGTAAAATACTTGCATGCTGGCCAACTTTACAAAGTTGAGATCAAGGAACACAGAAATTCTGTTAAATTTTCTAATTTAAGATTGAGAATGGATGTCTGTTTGCTTGAAGAGAGAGAAAAAAGGAAGTAAAAGCACTCCTGAACAATAGGTATTTGGTGTGTATATTGGATATATAGAACAAGTGACTAGATCACACCCTAGATCACACGAAAATAAAGGGTTCTAACCATAAGCATTCTTCTATAATAACCATCCTACTAATGACAGTAAAGCTATATTTTCAAAGTCCTCAGATTTAGCCAATATGAACTATGTGAAAAGCAACGTCTCAAAGAAAACCTTGCTCTTCAAACTTTCTGCCATTTACTCTGCTTACTGGACATGTGTAGAAAAATCCTGATGTTGAGGTGAGTATGCAGGTAGAAGTGAGGCACTGGCTGGAAAATGAGCCAAAGGCCAGACCATTTAGCTCTTTAGATTTTGTTTTTTCCTCCTCCCCTTGATGCTAAAGGTGAAAGGAGACCCTACTTTCTCAGAGAAAACAATATTCTTTTCAAAAAAGGGTCTTAACCCCCTTCATCTTTTTTTTTCTCCTTTCCCCTCCCTTTCCCTGCTGTTTAGAATTTTCTGGTCTTTAGGGCAGGTTGTTTCAGTAGGCTGAGGTGGAATGTCATTGAGAAGGTGAAGAGGTTCTTTTGCTGTATTTGCCAAACTAAGCATTATTAGTAAGAAAAAATATCCAACAAACTAAAGTCCATTTTACTACCACTTTTTCAGTTCAGAAAATACAACCCTAGTGGATAGGCATTTGGGAAGACAAACTATTTTAATTTTTCTTGGGAAAAAACTATATTCAGCAGATTCAATAAAAGATACACTTCCCTACATATACAGAAGAGACTGTTTAGCTAGGAAAGCAAGAACTCCTTTAATCTGTGAGACAGATTTACTATTTTAATGTTTACCAAACCAGAAAAAAAAAATGTTTAATTCATTTGACTCTGACATTTAAATTTTTTCTTTGGGGTTACCACACACATTTTAGTTGTAAGTTTTTCTTCAGTTTTTTTAGCTATTCAGTTGTTTCTAGCAGTTCTCTTCAGAGACCTGAAACACCTTTGTGAGGATGACAAAACAACGCATATCGAAGAATCAACAGATGCAACTCTAAATTATAAAATACATGCATACCTATGGAAGTAGCCAATAGTGTTTGTGAAAAAACTAGCCTTGCGCTAGTGCCTCCAGAAGGGAAGGAGAAAAGAATCCTAAAACTGCCATCTAACCATTGGGCCTGACTCCACACTAAACTTTCAACTACTTGAAGTGCCTCCCCTTCCAGTGTACCTATTTAGAGCCCAAAGACTTTACTATGCCAGATTAGGCTGCTAATGTGTTGAAGTATAGGACTGTCTGCAATCCATGATTGGTTCCCCAGTGACAGTAGATAGGCTGAGCCAAACTAGATTCTACCATTATGGTCTTAAATTGATTCCTGTGGCTACCTGACAGCAATACTTGCATGTCTGGACTGCTGCTTTCTTGTTACGAGGCACTCCTATTTGAAGCAGAGGCAAGGGGGGGAAGGAACTGCAGGGAGAGAGAAGATCTCTGTCACAATCCAGTCTAGTCCTGCAAGACCTTCTCTCTCTAAACAGACACTAGTCGTAAGGGATCCAACTGCCAAATCCTATGGGATGCTAAGCTCCAAGGGTTTGGGTAATGCCTAATCACTATTCCTGGCTTTGGGACACCCAAGAACACTCCTCAGATGCAGACCCCATGTCTGACACTTTTCTTGAATGCAGCCACCCAGACCCTGAAACGAGAGCCCTAGCCCTCCTGATCTCCCCCTCTCTTCTCAGTTGCATATTACATCCATTCCATCTAGAGTCCATCAGGCTGGGTGCACTCTGGTGTGTCTAGTTATACCCTTCAGGGACCAACACACAATGTTTGGAAAGGAACTTCTTAATACACACACACACACTCACTCACTTTTTAAAAAACAGAAGAGTTATAGATCTACAGAAAAACCAGCAAAGGTCTATCCTCCTCACTAGTCCTAAGAATCTTTTGAGTCATGGTCTGTCCAAGTTCAGGCTTGGTGGAGATGTCCTTGTCTTAAGACCAGGGCCTCTTGCTGCTGCTGTTGGTTGTCCCCATGTCCACACAACCCCTTCTCATAAACCCAGTCTTGGTCATGAGCCCCAGTGTAGGGCCCCATGCAGAGTTCATGTACGGAACACCACTGTTTCTTAGGGGTGGGCAGGGGATAAAAGCAAGTCCATAAATCATTAGGAGCAGTCTAGATTATGCTTCCTTTGTTAGATCTCCAAACAGGCTAGCATGTATGAGGTCAAACTGGTTCTCAGCACAGGACACAAAGTTGATACATAACGGGGACTCCATCCCACCCTGCAGGTTACAATTAGAGTTCATCAAATCAAATGGCATTGATAAGTTTTCACAGGCAGATTCCCCATCACACACTCTCCACCCATGGTTTTAATCACCATCTCAGAACAAGACGACATCCATCAGAACAAATATGGCCTTTCAAATAGCTAACTGCCCTTCATAGAGCCAGCTAGAGTAACAGGCTGATTAGGGATTGGTCCATGTACACAGACTATTGCCCCATGTCCCAGCTGGAGGAGCCAAAACCCATCCAAAGCCCCTTCTGTTGTCCACCTCATCACCATGGAAAAAGCAGGAAACAGTAGTAATACAAAATAATGGAGAAAGGAGAAGTTCAAGTTTTGGTCATACCTACATTTTATGCTAACCTGCTACATTTTTCCACCAAAAGCAAGCAAACAGACAGATAACTGGAAAACAGTCAAAAGTTATGTAGAGAAAGTTGAAAAAATTGTTTAAAAGCTTCTTTTGCAGTTACAGAAACTGTAATACAACTGCCAGGATAGCAAACTGGTGTCAGGTGAAAATATATGCAACACCTGCTATTTTGGGTGCTATCCCATACCTAAGATCCCACACCAGTCCTTTCTCACTGTGGGGGTGGGAAGCTGGTCTCTAAGCAACACTGAGAAACTAAGGTACTTAGCAAGTCACCACCAAAAATATTATTGCATGTGGTTTAACATAAAAATGTATCTTAAAATATTTTACCAGGTTTAAATAATAGCAGAAAGAAATTGAAGTACATAAAAAGGGGAGGGGGGGAATATACTTCTAAGATCTTTAAATTCTGCATCAAGAAAAAATGTTCCATCATTGAACCAACAGTTGAACCAGTGTATCAACCTGCTGGAAAAACAAACCTAAGTTATTCCCAAAACTGCAGAGCAGGGAAATTATTTTGTTTTCAATGCCTGAATCTACTGGAGACTCTCAAATCCCAGATAGCAGGCTTAACATGGTGCACCTCGTAAGTTGTAACACAGAAGGTTTAAAAAATACCTTTTCTCTTGCTGGTTTTACTTCCTGGCAAACATGATGTAAACAGGACTCCCCCCTTCCACGAATACAGAAAGCTCAAGGCAGATTTCCCCGTCATGAGGAGTGAAACAGCTCATTACGTTTCCCCATAGAAACAAAAAACTCATAACAGAGGCCCCTCCTGGTAACATGAGGCTTGAGGACAGACAGACCTGGAACGATACCAGAGGGGGGCTACTTTCATGCGAGAGAATCACGCAAACGGAGCACTAAAACCTCCAGCGCAGTAGGCAGAAATCTAGCCAACTCCCCCACGTGAAGTTTCTTTAATAATCCACAGGGGGTTCTGAGGGAGAAGGAAACAGCTCTGTCCGATCTGTTCCAGTTAGGACCTGTCACACACAAAAGACTCTTCAGAAAGTCTCCCTAAAATGGTTTCCCAAACTCTTCCGGCTGCTGCCTAGCAAAGGAAGCTCTGCTTCAGACGCCTTCCTTTCCCTCGGCTGCAGAGCTACGGAGCGCCCATGAGAAGGATCTGGCTACGGACACGCTGCCACCAGCTCTGCGTAGCTCCAGCCAGGCCGAGGAGAGGGGGCTGCAAAGCCAGAGTAACAGGCAGAAGGGTGAACTCCTGAGTCCTGTGCGTTGTCTCCTGTGGAAAAGCCATTTGCTGCCAAAAGGTTGGTAGTCTCTCTGCTCTGTTCGAGCTCCTCCTAGCACCAGCCCGGGCGCACGGAAAAAGGAGGCGGCGGAGAAAGCAGACTGCAGCTCCTGCGTGCTGCCTTCCCTCCCCCCCAGCCCAGGCAGCCACCCAGGCATATCAACCTCATGTGATCAACCAAGCTCGCTGTGCAGTCAGCAAAACACAAACATTCAGAAACGCCGGGAAAGAATGGGTGGGTCCCCTACCTATAATGCGCTGGAAACTCCGGTCGTAGCTAATTTTAGAAGCTACGTCAACTGCCCAATATAAAATAAATTGCTGAATTTTAAGCGAGTAAGCTGTTTCCAACAGCTGACAACTTCATTTCTTGTTTTTCCTGTATGTGAATATTACTACTGAGAGTAGCTAACAAGATTATACAGAACTACAGTCTCAATTTTGCATGCCTATGTGTAACAATTACATTCTAATCTATAAATCCACTTTTAAAAATTGACTAAAAATTTAAAGCATGTAAAACAAGACACCAGTGAGACATGCTAGTAAATCTTGTGCCACACAAGCCAGTAAACATTAGTTTTACTGTTTTGCTTCTGACACTTGGGTGGTAATGATTTGTTCTGTTAAAACTTCCTACATAAAGGCTAAAAGAACAGGAGTACTTGAGGCACCTTAGAGACTAATAAATTTATTTGAGCATAAGCTTTCCTGAGCTACAGCTCACTTCGTCGGATGCATGCAGTGGAAAATACAGTGGGGAGATTTATATACACAGAGAACATGAAACAATGGGTGTTACCATACACACTGTAAGGAGAGTGATCAGGTAAGGTGAGCTATTACCAGCAAGGGGGGGGGGGCGCCGCGGAGAGACACCTTTTGTAGTGATAATCAAGGTGGGCCATTTCCAGCAGTTAACAAGAACCTGCGAGGAACAGTCGGCAGGCAGGGGATAAACATGGGGAAATAGTTTTACTTTGTGTAATGACCCATTCACTCCCAGTCTTTATTCAAGCCTAAATTAATTGTATCCAGTTTGCAAATTAGTTCCAATTCAGCAGTCTCTCATTGGAGTCTGTGATGTGATTAGGCCCGATAATGGTGTCCCCTGAATAGATATGTGGACACAGTTGGCAATGGACTTTGTTGCAAGGATAGGTTCCTGCGTTAGTGATTTTGTTGTGTGGTGTGTGGTTGCCGGTGAGTATTTGCTTCAGGTTGGGGGGGGGGGGGCTGTCTGTAAGCAAGGAATAGCCTGTCTCCCAAGATCTGAGAGAGTGATGGGTCGTCCTTCAGGATAGGTTGTAGATCTTTGATGATGCATTGGAGAGGTTACGATACAACTGCATTTGCTCCAACCCCTCAGACAGAGACAAACACAAGATCTCTATCAAGCGTTCTTACAACTACAATACCCACCTGCTGAAGTGAAGAAACAGACTGATAGAGCCAGACGCCCAGAAGTTACCTACTACAGGACAGGCCCAACAAAGACAACAACAGAACGCCACTAGCCATCACCTTCAGCCCCCAACAAAAACTTCTCCAACGCATCAAGGATCTACAACCTATCCTGAAGGACGACCCACCACTCTCAGATCTTGGGAGACAGGACAGTCCTTGCTTACAGACAGCCCCCCAACCTGAAGCAAAAATTCACCAGCCACCACACAACAAAATCACTAACCCAGGAACCTATCCTTGCAACAAAGCCCGTTGCCAACTGTCTCCACATATCTATTCAGGGGACACCATCATAGGGCCTAATCACATCAGCCACACTATCAGAGGCTCGTTCACCTGCACATCTACCAATGTGATATAGATATTAAGGTCAGAAGGGACCACTATGATCATCTAGTCCGACCTGCACAACGCAGGCCACAGAATCTCACCCACTCACTCCTGCGATAAACCTCTCACCTATGTCTGAGCTACCGAAGTCCTCAAATTGTGGTTTAAAGACTTGAAGGAGCAGAGAATCCTCCAGCAAGTAACCCATGCCCCATGCTACAGAGGAAGGCGAAAAACCTCCAGGGCCTCTTCCAATCTGCCCTCGAGGAAAATTCCTTCCCAACCCCAAATATGGCTATCAGCTGAACCCTGAGCATATGGGCAAGATTCACCAGCCAGATACCCAGGAAAGAATCCTCTGTAGTAACTCAGATCCCACCCCATCTAACATCCCATCACAGGCCATTGGGCCTATTTACCATGAATATTTAAAGATCAATTAATTGCCAAAATCATGTTATCCCATCATACCATCTCCTCCATAAACTTATCGAGTTTAATCTTAAAGCCAGACAGGTCTTTTACCCCTACTGCTTCCCTTGGAAGGCTATTCCAAAACTTCACTCCTCTGATGCTTAGAAACCTTCATCTAATTTCAAGTCTAAACTTCCAGATGACCAGTTTATATCCATTTGTTCTTGTGTCCACATTGGTACTGAGCTTAAATAATTCCTCTCCCTCTCCGGTATTTATCCCTCTGATATATTTATAGAGAGCAATCATATCTCCCCATGACCTTCTTTTAGTTAGGCTAAACAAGCCAAGCTCCTTGAGTCGCCTTTCATAAGACAGGTTTTCAATTCCTCGGATCATCCTAATAGCCCTTCTCTGTACCTGTTCCAGTTTGAATTCATCCTTCTTAAACATGGGAGACCAGAACTGCACAAAGTATTCCAAGTGAGGTCTCACCAGTGCCTTATATAATGGTACTAAAACCTCCTTATCTCTACTGGAAATACCTTGCCTGATGCATCCCAAGACCACATTAGCTTTTTTCACAGCCATATCACATTGGCGGCTCATAGTCATCCTGTGATCAACCAATACTCCAAGGTCCTTCTCCTCCTCCGTTACTTCTAATTGATGCGTCCCCAGCTTATAACTAAATTTCTTGTTATTAATCCCTATGCATGACCGTACACTTCTCACTATTAAATTTCATCCTATTACTATTACTCCAGTTTACAAGGTCATCCAGATCTTCTTGTATGATATCCCGGTCACTCTCTAAATTGGCAATACCTTCCAACTTTGTATCATCCGCAAACTTTATTAGCACACTCCCACTTTTTGTGCCGAGGTCAGTAATAAAAAGATTAAATAAGATTGGTCCCAAAACCGATCATGTGCCAATAATGCCCCTCTGTCATGTACATTGGCCAAACTGGACAGTCTCTACATAAAAGAATAAATGGACACAAATCAGATGTCAAGAATTATAACATTCAAAAACCAGTCAGAGAACACTTCAATCTCTTTAGTCACTCGATTACAGACCTAAAAGTCACAATATTACAACAAAAAAATCCTCAAAAATAGACTCCAATGAGAGACTGCTAAATTGGAATTAATTTGCAAACTGGACACCATTAAATTAGGCTTGAATAAAGACTGGGAGTGGATGCGTCATTACACAAAGTAAAACTATTTCCCCATGTTTATTCTCCTTCCCCCCTCCCCCCCACTGTTCCTCACACGTTCTTGTCAACTGCTGGAAATGGCCCACCTTGATTATCACTACAAAAGGTGTCTCCCCCCCCCACCTCTCCTGCTGGTAATAGCTCACCTTACCTGATGACTCTTGTTACAGTGTGTATGGTAACACCCACTGTTTCATGTTCTCTGTGTATATAAATCTCCCCACTGTATTTTCCACTGCATGCATCCGATGAAGTGAGCTGTAGCTCATGAAAACTTATGTTCAAATAAATTTATTAGTCTCTAAAGTGCCACAAGTACTCCTTTTCTTTTTGCGGATACAGTCTAACATGGCTGCTACTCTGAAACCTGTACATAAAGGCTGTTCCAGAGGGCAGATGAGCACAAGCAAGAGTACAGAAAACAGGTCTGAGGTAAGATGGAAGACTCCATGAGAGTTAAGAAATAGAACAGTTTTTAAGCTTGATCTTGATACAAGTGGAAAAATCAAGATGATGTAGCTGAATATTGCACATACTGGACTCTGGAAAGCTGGGACTTCGGGGTTACAAGAAAGGGAAGTGAAATAGCAATGGTGAGGGCATAAAGGCACATTTTAACACATACATATAGATTAGAAGATGAATACAGTAATAGTCTGTAAACCTAAAGACTGCCAGGAGCAAATAGAGGTTGCCTGCAAAAGGAAAAATATATTGAATATGAGCTTCTATAATGTATAAAAGGTGGCCAGGAAAGTTCTGTCTTAAAAAGTGTTTTCCCACTACATTAAAAATTCAGGGCTTGTCCACCCTGTTTTTTCCGGAAGACTATGGACAGCTGTATGAGCATTTTAACACTACAGCAACTATCACAGTTCAGGACAACTGTACCTGTATTTCCTCTAAGTCATTCAAAAAGGGCACCCAATCTCAGTCTTCCAGTTGTTGCCTCTTTTGGGTAGACACCCATGATGGGTCTCACTCCCTTCAGGCCAAGGTATGTCCAGGCTGAACAGTTCCCCTCCTTCACTGTGTATTTTCCAGCAAAGACAGTCTGCCTAAACAGATGTGCTTACTTTCTCTTCAGATACTGATAAAAGTGATTGTCAACAGTTATAAGTTACCACACAACACTTCCTATGCAAACCCACCTTATTTTTAAAGGTAAGCAGCATTGCAGGGGGGGGGAAAGAATCTACATGCATGCTCATAAAGCTTAGGACTAACCCTAACATGGATTCTGGCAGGCCTAGTCCTTAAGCCTACCCCCCAAGCATTGGGACCTTCCAGGGACCAGGGGTCCTGTCCATTTGCTGGAATAGGAAGAAAGCACTGAGCCAGTATTAAAACCAAGCTACTTATCCAAAAACCCTCTCTTTCTTTGTTGGACCCTGGAGAATCCAGTCTGACCTAGTATATTACTCCTACGCGAATCTTGCACAATTGCGCAAGCACAGAATTCATGTGCCCAACAGATTTTTTTTCTCTCCACAGAATATAGATTCTGCTGGAGAGGAGGTGCAGTTACACCTTTCGCCCACCAGGGGCTGCTGTGGCACCAGAAGAGAGGGCAGCCAGTCAGCAGAGAGGGAGGGGGAAGAGCCTGCCTTCCTCACAGGGGAGGAGGCATGGGATGGACAAAGCAGGCACATGGGGCTGCTGGGGACTGTCAGAGGCTGGGGTTCAGAAGGGCTCATGGGGAGG